GTCGAGGTACGGTATGGCTCATTGCTAGTACGGGAGTTTGAACATCATTGAATTTCCCAATATACGATTGGAATAGACCCATGGCCAAATGACCCAACCCCGTGAGCACGACTCCTTCGATATCGCCTTGATCAATTGCTTGACTTGTGGCTTCCTTCAGATACTCAGTTAGTTCGTCATCTGGAAGCCAGCGTAGCGCGACCTCTACGCGATACTTCAGAGGTAGCGTGGTTTCCTTAATGACTGCATTCCAGTCGCCTTTGCTCACAAGGGCTAGGATCGCCCGAGCATATGGGTCGGTGAGTTCCTTCGCGATTTCCGCACAGGTTTCCTCCCAGTCTGTGTCGTTGTCCCCCTTGGAGGCACCAGCGATCGCCATCGCCAGCAATTTATGAGCTTGGGTGGGGTTGTTGCTTCGAAGCCCAAGGTAAGCCAGCTTAGGCTCGTCTTGGAAGACAGCCAGCGCAGCAGCTTTAGTATGCTGGTCTTCGCCAGATAAAGTTTTCACTGACTCCTCTAGCTCACGATAAGATTGCGTAGCACCACAGAGACGAAGGCAGAGTCGGCGATGATCGGGGAAATCCGTGTCACAACCTGTTGTCTCGGGGAGGTTCAACTGGATTGCCAAAGTTTCTACTGCATCCGCAACTGTTTTAGCATCGTCTTTCTTGGCGCTGATACAACGTTGTTCCAATCCATGGCCTGTTTTAATGTCAGTTTTAAGACTTAAAACAAAATAAAGAAACAAACCTATGTCATTATTCCAAATATTGCTCACACCTAGGTAATTCAGGTCCAAGCCATTGACAACCATTGAGGTCCCAGAAGACTCGGTTCGAGCACCTAGAAATGTGTTAGATATGTGGTTGTGACCCCAAGGGAAATGAGAAACTCACGTTCAATCCAGCCCCAGAAGTCTTGTAGAGCTTGATCATCAGAGGCCACCTTTCGGTTTCGTGCCTCATCGAACAGATAACCCTCTTTGCACCGGGACTGATTAATTGTGGATAGAGTAAGCGCTTCTTTCGCAGTAAGAGGTACACCTGTCACCCCGAGAGCCATGGCGCGTTCCCGGTTCTCATGGCTTGGGACAGGCTCGGAATCGAGACTCTTTGATACGAACAGCTGGCCATTTGAATTTGCCTCATGCTCTTGCGAGGTCAAACAGACGCGCGACCTAATGTTCCCGATCAGGTCTGAGATGGGTGAAATATGCTCAGACAGTGGGTGAATCGATCGCACATCTGAGTCACCCGATGAGATGCCATAGGCTAATACACTCCGCGAAGATAAATCAATTGGTGCGCAGGGGGGACGCACGGTGATGATCTGGGGTTGTCCATTGCCGTCGAGTGCGATAGCACTTGGTTGAGGAGACAAGCTAAGATTTAGGGAATCAAATGAAACAACCCGGTCCTTTTCTTTGTAGCCACGAGCCGGAGTATCAAAAGGTACGCAAACGTCCCGGACGTGTTTAGTGTATACTGATTCTGGGTAATTTCTGTAAGATCCCTGTCCAAGAGTCTCGTCTATCGAAGAGCGATACTCCTCCGGCAAGTAGTCTTTGGCAATATCGTAATTCTTGAAATGACCGCTGCTGGATAGCGCAGAAAGATTGCCTCGGTTTGTCCTTGAGAAGCGTAAGCTCCAGATGGAGGACTTCGGATGGAAAACATTCTTGAGTTCCAAAGCAGAAGCCGAGTGACCTGAGTCTGGGGCACTGGCAGAAGAGCCCACTGATGGAGATGTCAGTCGAGATCCAACGCGACGGTCCCACACGCAGATGGTGCTTTCGTTTGATGGAATGCAAGACGCAATATAGTTCTCATCAAGCCAGTCAATAGCCAGATTATGAACACATCGAGTGGGAAACTGTAATGACGGATTGCCAGGTCCCTCTGTTACAAAATCAGCTATGCTCCTGTAGATATAAAACCAAGAAAGACAAACCTCTCAGATCATAGATCCGAACAAATTGGCCTTTGACACCAGTTACGATCGTGTCAGGCTGGTCTCGGAAGAACTTAATGCTAGTGATAGGCTCTGAGCTGGCGAGCTTCCGCAAGGGCTCAGTGAATCCTTTACTTCCGCCAGCAGGACTGAGTCGTTGGTTGACATCCCAAATGTTCAAGCAAAAGTCGTTCCGAACGCGATCGAGGCCCGATGCCACAAGACCGTGTGTACTAAAAGCAACTGCATTACAGTACCGTTGATTGCGGACTGGGAATGAAAGAGACTCCTTGGCATCCCCATCAAGCCGTAGGATGGTGGCCTCTCCAGATGACTGGCCCACGGCGATCAGGTTTTCATTCGAAGTAGACCAGTCAAATGCGCGAAAACCAGGCACGTTGGTCAGGGTAGATAGCACTTCATGGCGTAAATTTTTGCCGTCAAAGCCAGTCACCCTGCACAGACGAAATGATTTCCCTGTGACGTCGACTGACAGGAAGCGTTGTTCAGCGGCCGACGAGGTCGGGGACCAGCGAATGGCGGACTCCATGCTGGCCCTTTTACTAAGCGTGGCTCAGTAATTGACTCAATAACATGGGTAGATCCGAACTGCTAGATAGACAAATGCAAGCGGACAATTGGAGTAAATCAAATCAATGCGACGAGAGAGGGCCGCGGTGATGGTGATCAACGGAGACGCTCATTGGTCGGGCGCCAATCTGGGGGGACGGGCCGATAAATCCGCCGGTATCTTTTTTTCTTATCGTTTTTGCTGTAGCTTCGACTTCTTTTTTTTTCCTTTCCTTTTCTGTTAGACCAACAAACATGTCTACAGATACGCGAAGCCACCGCGATCGGGCAGCTCCCTCAAAGAGAAAGACGAGGGATGGGTCAGAGGATGTTCCCCCGGCCCGCAAAAAGGTGCACCGCAAGGCAGACAAAGCAGATGATCAAATCCAATTCGAGGACTATGGCAGCAAGGGCGAGGCATCGAAGCCCAAAGTGACCCGGAAATACAAGGACAAATTTGCTCCCAAACCTGAAAAGGAATACCCGTCGATTAACGACCTCAAAAAGCGAATTCGCGATGTGAAGCGACTACTCAACAAAATGGATTTGTCCGCCGATGCTCGCATCTTGCAGGAACGCGCCCTCGCTGGATATGAGCAAGACCTTGCGGACGAAACTACACGCAGAGAGCGGTCATCATTGATCAAGAAATATCACTTTGTCCGATTCCTTGGTATGTGGCTGATAAGTCTACAAGTTCTTGAGTTCTCGCTAACGTACTTTGTTTTTATTGAATAGACCGCAAAACTGCCACCAAAGAACTCAACCGACTTACTCGCCGGGAGAAGGAAGAAGATCTGGATTCGAAACAAAAGGCTCGTCTTGCGGCGAAAATCCACACATGCCGTGTGAACCTCAACTACACGATCTACTATCCTCTCACCGAGAAATACATTTCAATCTACCCTAGTGGAAAACCCGATGCAACGGACCCAAAGTCAGAAGTGCAAACACAGGAAACCAAATCCAACGACGCCAAGCCACCAATGTGGTCTGTCGTTGAAAAGTGCATGGAAGAAAAGACACTGGACCTTCTTCGCGAAGGAAAGCTGCACATCAATGCTAATGGAGAGAAGATCCAAGCTTCGTCTTCTGGCACAACTACAGTTACGGATACCCACAAGGAAAAGAACAAGAAGGGAGAGGAACAGAAAGAGACCAAGACTTCGGCCCAAAAGGAGAAGCATGTTTCCAAAGATGACAAGAAGAGCAGCAAGAAGGAGAAAGCTGCACGCGGCGAGCGGGCTCCCAAGAAACATGAGGCATCAGAACCAGCCAATGCGGAGGACCAAGATGATAGCGATGGTGGTTTCTTTGAGTAACCAATTCATAAGTTTGATGCAGAATTCGTTCATGTCCTATTTGTCTTGATATCCACTCTAGCATTTTATACATTCTATTGCAATATAGCCAAATGACACTACCTGTCTCCAAAGCTTCACCGACTAATAACCGGGTTCTCGACCTGCGCACCTCAATGCCATAGACTGATGTTGTGGCTCATCTAGGTTGTCAGGCGGAACACAAAGAATCGTTTTGCTGTATAGGGAACACTATTTGTTGCATATAAATGGCTGTTCCATAGTGGAACTAACTCTACCCCATCCAGTTCGTAAAGCATCTGGCATAACTTGAGCATATCATTCTCCCATTCTACTACCTCATCCACTTCGTCAACTCTCTTGTCAAATTCCTTTTCTACACTTAACCCTACGTTTCAAACCTTTACATTGACTATATCTACTAATTCTTGACTATCGAACCTTCACTACATTGATCTATGTTACTTGGAGTATTGACTCTGAAGCTAGGGCTAACTATATCAACCTTTCACATTTACCATCTGATTCTTTCAATTGCATACATTGGATCAACACCTAAATTCTTTGCTGCCCAGATCTGACTTTCACTCTTATCTCTACCTATCATCACAGGTGCTTCTTTGCATATCCAGCTTCTCTGCATTAGTTCATACCGTCTATCATCTACACAGATACTTTGCTTGTCTTTTCTCACAACTTTCATACCTTTCACCATTCCATTGTGACCGAGGTCACTGCTCACTGCAGGTAAGGTATCGCCGGATAATCCCTTTGAGACTTCAATCCCCATCCTTCTACTGTGCTCATGTTCACCTTGCGATCTATCCTGTCACAAACTGCAACTTCATATTCGCTGACTCCTATATCTACAACCCAGACTTCTGTATACTTTGAACTTCTGCAACAATTCGAGCCTTGGTACTGTTTAACAATCTCTTCTTCGAGGCCAAGTCTATCATCGTTCTTTTCACTAGTCTATCATAAATCTACTTATTTGAGCCCTTATTGATCTATGAGCCACGCTCTGTCTCAAGACCTCCTTCGTTCTGTCTATCAATGTAATTTTGATCCATCAGGTATACGTCTAGTCACTTGAGCTCTTGACTAACCAAGCACAGATTCTTCAATCAACTGCACAATCCATTCAAACAAGTTAAGATGCCTACATCTGCACCCAAAGAAGCCAAAATGGCTTGCCACCCTTCAGATAAAGCAGCGTTCATTGAGCAGCAAGAAATCCTTCGAGACCGCTGCTCCAAAGTCCTCGCCGACCATCTCAAGTCCAATCCCGATGTTGTGTGGACCTTCGAAGATGGCTACGGAAGGTACCCCACCACAAAGAAAGAAGAGGCACAGCTGAAACTGGTCCTGGATCTCGAATTCAACGAGGAAAGCGGCCAGTGGGACTTCCCTCCGGCCAACAACCGACTGTCAGATGAATTAGTTTATCTGGCAGTGAAATTCATGAACGCCCGCCACCGAGCACGACTATATCCATACGATTTCGACGCCATGGGCCATATCAATCCTCAACGCGTATCATCGGGACCTGCTCCCATCATCTGGGCTCACGGCTTGCCTTTCTTCCCGGTATACAAAGGGTATTACATCCTCTGTGGACGCGAAAACTCGAAGAGCATCGGCTGGCTGATCCACGAGAAAACCAAAGATATCATGCAATCCAACCCGATCTGGTCTATTGGGGCGGTCATCGCACCTGATTCTGCCGTGAAGGCTCCTCACACCATCACTCGCCAGATGACACAGCACAAGCCTAGCGGTGTCGAGATTGAATTGCAGTACAGGAGCAAGGCTTGGACGCGCGATGTCATGGCTGCTAACCACCAGCTCTGTGCAGTTCTTCCGAATCCGGAAGTTGATGGGATTGAGATCTGCCCTCTGTGGAAAGCCTGGGGTTACAACGTTCGTTGTGGACCTATGAAGCGTGGATTGAAACCGACTACCATGCCGAAGGAATTTTTTACCAGCCATGGTATCAAAGATTTTGACTATGAGGCTCTCGCTAGGCCATACGGCAACCGCTTGTTGAACGAAGATGAAGACATGGACGAGGAAACGGACTCAGACGACGACATTGAGGTGGAACAACTCGCTGGAAAGAGTGATGAAATCACTAGCAGTGGCAATCGATCCATGATGGCTCAGTCTACGTCCCAAGTTGATGTGGACATAGGTATTGTCAGCCCAGTGGAGGTTCCAGCGCAGGTCCCGGTGCAAGGTCCAGAGCAGGTCACAGAAGCGATCACAGAAGCAGTCACAGAAGCAGTCACAGAAAAGGTCACAGAAGAGGCCCCGAAAGAGATCTCAAAAGACCCCGAATTCGCCCCCTCAGAGCATGAGGAGCCGAAAGTTGGTGAAGGACCGGCATCTTAATTTGATGTTGATGAGACTGGCATATACAAGAGCCAAGTACCAGCGGAAGCTCGTGTGTACGATGGGGAGGCTTCAAAACTGAAAAGCCCAATAAATGCGAAAATGGAGTGAGAAATGGGATCTACATGAATTCTATGGGGTGTCAGAAGGGACGTGATGGATCCCAAGGATTCCTTTTCTTTCCTTTTTACTGAAATTTGGGGTTTATGGCACTGGGGTGGATTGTGCCTTTTGTCTTCATGTTTTCCTCTTGCGATGTGTTTCTTTGCAGCTTATTCTTTGTTACCAGTGACACACGGTTGATCACTGTACTTTGCAGTTATTCTTACAATATTCTTAATGGTGTTTCTGCCGCTCTCGAAGAGGATTCTCTTCATCTGGGTAGTCACTTGCTTTCTTCGGAAACCTCGCCATTCAGGCTGCTACAATATTCAAGAGAGTCGGGTTCACAGGGTGGAATCAGGTCACTGAAGAACAAACATTATCTTGGAAAGTAAGTCAGAAGTCCCTGGTTCATGCTAATTGTCCACTGAATAAGCAATTCTAGTGATACAGGTATTATATATTAAATAGGGTGCTTTTTGAAGCACAGCGGAGTGTTCTTACCTATAATGGCACTAATATCATCTTACGCTGACTATATACCTAGAGGATATGAATTGGAAATGATGAGAAGTAAAGTGTCATAAGAGAAGCCTGACAGGTGGCATGGATTTCATATTGAAAAGCCCAGGAAGACAAACTAATAGGGGAAGCACCCCCCAAAACGCCAATCATCTCGCCAGTAACCCCTCTAGATACATATGTTAGAGCTAACATCTCGATGTAGTAAAAGATGTGAACATATAAAAAGCTCATAGAACATGCAGGAAAGAAAGCCCATTCTTGGGATTTGGCGCCATAGCTAAAAACGAGGAGAGAGGTGAAGACGAGTAGATGTGACGATAGGTGGTAGACAGATAGAGAGAGAGAGTGAGAAAGGGCCAAAAAAAAAAAAATCAAACGCGAAAGAAAGTGTTATATTGGGGATATAGTTTCCCATAAAGAAAATCATATCGTGCGTAATTCATAGCAAATTGAAAATGACCATTCCAAGGATATGATCTTCAATATCAAATGGATGCCATCCATTTGAGATACTAGCGATCCTGCGCCAGCAGAGTCAAGGAACGTCTTGCGTCTAGCTCGAAATTAAGGTGTTCCCAGAACACACCGAACGGAAAGAAAAAGCCGTAGGAATTTACCTCACATGACAGTACAGCCACCACCACTCTGGGCTCGTCTGCGTCTCCCACCAAGAGCAGAGAGAGCGCCCACACCGTAAGCATCGTTCTCGTCTTCGTCTTCATTGTACAGACGCTCAGCTTCACGGGCACGACGTCGACGTCGGCGAGCACCAGCACCAGCAGCACCAGCCTCTTCGGTCGCGACCATGTATTCGGCCCATTTCCGGTCCAGCCGGGATGCAGCAGCGAGATCGCCGCGCAGGACACGTTTCGTGTGCTCATCAACGGTCATCTGCCAGCCATAGAAACATTTGAGCTGGATGATTTCGTTGGGATAGGTGGGTGCTGGTGACGGCGAAGGGGAGGAAGCTGGGGTGACGAAGGTACTTGTTGCCGGGGAGGAGCCATCGTCTGATGTTTGAGTCACCGTCACCACTGTTGAAACGGGTTTGCGGGAGGCGCGTCGGATGTATGCGTTGCTAGAGAGGACTTCCCGGACCCCTGCCCAGGTGACGTTGGCGCAGTCGAATATCATGAGTCGTAGTCCGACTTTGGGGACCTCGTCGCTGTACCCGCGGCGGCGGACACGGAAGCTGGCTTCCATCAGGGTCAGATCTGACACTCTGGTGTTGTCCATTTCGACGGATCGGAGGTTTGGACAGTTCTTCATTACTCGGAGCATTCCTGTGTCGCTGAGACTCTCGCAGTAGCTGATGTTCAAGTGTTCCAAATGTTCGGCACATGGAGACTCAGCCAGCTGCACCAGGGTGCGGTTCGTCAAGTTCTCCAAATCCTCTAGTTCCAAATGCGACAAGTTTGGTGTCGTGCGAATGACGTTCATGACGGATTCATCGGTCAGCTCCGAGCACTGGGAAACTTGCAGGCCTTCCAAGTCTGGAACGTTATAGGCTAGGCTTTTCAACCCATCGTCACTCACTTCAGAGCAATGGTGAAGGTCCAAATGGCGAAATTTTCGGGGTGGAACGATAGGCCGATCGGTTAGAATATCCATATTGGGGTTCTCGCCGTGGATCAGCATCTTCAAGCTCCGATCCGTCAAGTCAGTACGACTCATGATCAAGCGATCCAAAGTATTACGCTCGAACAAAGCCAGAGTGAATTTCTCATCTTTAAACCCGCGGATTTCGCTGGCCCTAAGATCCTTCAATCGCTCACAGGACTGGACAACCCGAAGAAGACCAGTGGTATCAACATGATTGCACCAAGAAACATTTAATGTCTCGAGTTGCGGACAAGACCGTGCAATGACCTTCATGGCCGAGTTTGTGACACTTGACAGGCCTGAGAGATTGATGTATTCCAAGCGGGGATTACGAAGGAGGAAAGAGTAGATGGATGCCTTGTCGATACGACAACCCTCGAGCGAAAAGTTGACCACATTCCGACACAGATCCGAAATGCGTTCTCCATCCGAAGACCACTTCTCACGCATTTGGACGCAGCCTCTGAGATTGAGGTCTCGGACAAACGGACCGCCACAAGTGATAAGCTTGACCAAAACATCACTCGGGATCTTAGAGTAGTACTCGGTGGTATCGACCTTAGACCATAATTGTCCGTTGTAGCACATCTCATTCCACGTTTTGGACACAGCGGAGCAGCGGACAATTTCTTGCGGGGTGAGGTATTGAAAGATCTCCATCTTAAGTTCTTGTGGCATATCGCCCCAAAAATCAAGAGTCCTGGCCGGTTGGGATTCTGGAAGGGTGACCTCCTCGAATTTCACTCCCATCGGCGCGGTACGTGGCGATCCACACGATGCCGGCCGCACATCAAAGGGCAAAGGCACGGTGCGAGGCGTAGTGAAACCAGGGCCATCGGTGTCCATCAAACGAATGCGAACGTTCGTGCCCTGGGGCTCACCGGGAGAACTAGAACATCCGGGAGTAGCGGGCCGAGGATTGAGGCCGCCATAGAGCTGGGAGGAACTTCCATTGCCTAGACAGGGAGAGTAGGAAGGCGAAGATAGCGAAACACAAGAAAGAGAAGCCTTATGGTCGCGGCGGTAACTAGTAGTTGACGAGGAGCGGCCGCGTCGGGTCAACGTCGGGCTGGACGACATGCGTTGGAGACTCTGCAGTAACTTCTGACGACCTTTGAGTTTTGGCGGTTGCTCTAAAGGGATCTGGCCTGCCAAATTGGTCGGGCTGTTCGGAGAGATACTACCCGGGGAGGGTAGGATCTCATCGGATACTTGGGAGGTCATTTTGGCGACTTGGTTCAGTCTGTATCACCTGTTCTCTGGTCCACTGATATCTTGTCACGCCTTCCGGGGGGTGTCGGCACGGTGCGGAGGTATCACACGAGCAGTAATAACGACGGAGGATAGTGGAAACGGGTAGAGCGGCGGGCGCGCAGTCACCGGAAGCTCTTAGATGTGCATAATGCTAGATTTCAGCGATGACCGGTCTTTTGGATATTGATCAGCGCTTTGAGGAATAGAGGAAACAGAGAAACAGAGAGAGGGAGTGATCAGAGCGTCAGGTGGGGAAATCAGGTTGTCCGTTATTGTTCTCTCGGGGCCCACGGCCAAATAACCGTGGAACAGGTTTCGGCAAAGATGCCGTACAGAAAACCGAGAGAACCGAGAGGGACGAGGAGAAGATATAGAGGATATGGAGGGGAAGTTGAGAAAAGGGAGAGAGAGAGATATATGCAAAAAAGAAAAAGAAATGGCGGAATGCAGAGACAGGAATGCGATACATCTATGAAACTTGGTATTAACCCAACCATCACATAGCAGATGTTGTACTATGCAAGTACTCCCCCTCTACGTTATCTGCTTATCGGTCCCCACCTATTAGTACTAGGCACCTGTATATACATGCATGTCTGTACCTTTCAAATGCCGTTTTCTTATTATTTCCCATCTTCTTCTTGGGTAACTCTGGAGTATATTGTGTATTGTGTACTGATTTCTACAGATGTATGTACGATACCAGTGTCATGGCACAGACCCATCTGATGTGAGACCAAAGCCCACACTCGGCTGACGACGCCTTGAACGAAAGACAGACCGACAGATTCCCGCCCCTCAGGCCAGAACCCACTTAAAGGCCACGATCCAGAGACATTGAGGCGATTTGTTCCTGAGAGACAAACCGTTAGATTTCATTTTCACCTTTCTATTTTCGCTGGTGGGGCTATGTGCGGGGGCACAGACTAACCCGTGGTATGAGGACAGAAAACCCATGGAATGGAACATGCCATATCCATATCTCCTATTTTGTAGTTTTACCTAAATAGGTATTTTGGTTTTTATTTCACTTTGTTTGACTGTCAAGAACACTGAATTTCAGTACAACAACATGCCTACAATATGTATTTGCGTCAAATTGGAGATATCCAACTTCCAAGGTTCTTAGCTTGGCATATGAAGTGGAGATTGCCCCCATGATAATGATAACCCAGGCTAACCCACACCAAGACTGGGTTTTGCCAAGGACTACAAAAAACCACTGGAACGTACTACGCTAAATGTTCCCCCGCAATTCGCCCAAAGCCGTACTGCGTATGGAATACGTTGTATATGATATCTACCCTCTTGGGTTCTCTAGGTCACATAAAGAGACATGCAAAGGTATTCGCAAAATCAAATGCCATGAAAAAAAAAGGGGGTGGGAAAAAAAAAGCTTGATAAAATAACCCCGGGTAAAAAATAAGACAAATCATACGTTGATGTTCATAATCATCACCCATCAACGTGATCATAGGTTAGAAGAAACAGACACTCGCTCCACACCGGCCCCGAAA